TCTATGAAGCGCCTTGAGGCGACATTTGTTGTGATTTGGCGCTATATAAATAAAATTGAATTGAATTGAATTGAATTGAATTGAGTGTGATATTAAACCACATAGGCAGAATGTGCAACATTCTCCAGTCTTTATATCTATAGTAAAGACTAGAGATTTATAAATGCAGTGGAACAATGCATGTAAGAGTTACTTACATGGAACTTTTGAAAAATTATTCTTAAGCTGTGAAATGTAACAGATGCACTCCTGGTGATATAGGCTGAGGTCCACCTAATAGGCGGAGTGCAGGGAACTGCACCACATTAAAACAGTGAAGAGCTGAGTTTATGTTCATTTGCCAAATAGTCAAGAACAAAAATGGGTAACAGTGCTGCAATCCCTGATGGCAAAGTTGGCTCATTTATATAGACTTCTTCTTTATACTACAGTCAGTGTTTATTAGCTGCCTCTTTTTTCAATTTCTATTGCAGTTGAAAATATGTTCATTCAAACAGCAATTATAACACTGTGTCTTTCTTTCTTTCTGCAGGTCCTCCAATGAGGATTCTGATGATTGGGAAAACTGGTGTTGGGAAGAGTGCTACTGGCAACACCATCCTGGGTAAAACATATTTTAAGTCTAGTGTTAGCTTGGAGTCAGCAACAAAGACCTGTGAATTTGGAAATGTTCCAGACTGTGAAAGAAGGATTACTGTGGTCTATACACCTGGCTTTCTAGACAGATCTAAAACTGCAGACAGTATAAAGAAAGACATTGCAAAATCCATGCAGATTACCACCCCTGGCCCTCATGTCTTCTTGCTGGTCCTGCAGATCGGTAGGTTTACCAAAGAAGAACAAAATTGTGTGGACACCCTGGAAAAACTGTTTGCACCAAAGGTCTCAAACTACATGATTGTGCTGTTCACTCATGCTGACAAACTGACTAAGAAGGGCATAACAATAGAGCATTATTTCAAATCTAGCCACACCATGATTGGAAAATTAGTTAACAAATGTGGTAACAGCTATCATGTGTTTGACAACACTAACACCATGAACAGAGAACAGATTGCTGAGCTTGTCAATTCGTCAGCGCGGTTAGCGCCGTGCAGCTGCTCGCACAGGGTGAGCCTAACTCGCTAACGGAGATTTGCCGCGTTAATGCGGTTATGGCGTTAATGACATTTTAGCAAGATTAACGCTGACAGCACTGGGGTAACCATCAAAGCATGAATAAAGTGGCATCAGTGAGAGGCTGCAATATTACCCACCCCCGAGAGCCAGAGACCACATGTTTGCATACCTGCTCCAATAGAAGGAAGAGCAACACCTGACATGGACAGAACAAAGGGCATGAGCTGATATGTGAACTACCAGTAATAAAGATGTTGTAATAAACATTTATAGTTAATGCTAGTTAAAACAAGACTTGAAATAACTGACACAACATAATTGCTGGATTAAGTTGAGTTTATTATTATCATTATTTTCCATTTTGTTTCGAATAGATATCAAATAAACTGGATGTATAGAAATTGTTATATTTTACTCATCAACATTTTGTCTTATGCACGTTATGCTATACCAAAACTTATAAACTAGCTTTTTTCTTTTTTTTCTGATATACAAAAAAAAATAAAGAAAAACGGGAGATATTGCCCACCCACTTCCAACCTGTTTTGATCTCTCAATACTGAACATACTGAACACTAACTATCTATAAACTATACTGAAGTCTTTAATTATCTTTTCATCATATTTGATTATTCATACTTATTTCCCTAAGTTGCAAAAAACAAATGTAAATATATTTAAAGGCAAATAAGTATAAGTAATAAGTAATCTTCTAAACTTGAAGATTGGAGTTACTATGACAGAACAGCTATCAAAATAAATACACACAATAATAAATTCATACTGCATCAAAGGATTACACTTGTACCTTCTCCACAAACTGATACATGGAGTTATCAGCACATTCTCACTTCCAAAGCATAACATTTTACACCAGGTGGCAAATCATCAGTATATTGCACTTTTGGCCACCCAACACGTCCCTATATTTTGAGTTTGGAAAAATGAGGAAACATGAGAACTGTTTTGAATGAATCTACGCATGTACATTTATTTTACGTAAATCGCTTTGGAAAACACTAACACGATTAAGGTGGTGGTTAACATTAGGTTATGGTTAGGGCTGTAGTACACGGCTGGAACGTGTGTTTCCGTGGAAGCGTTAATCTATTCAATTTCATCCACATTTCGGTGCGTTGCATAGGAGCGCGGAAGGTCACCTTTCCATGGAACACCTCGGGATGCTACAAATCGTTGGTATATTATGCGTCATGAGTGAGAACGGGCTTGGAGTTGATCACTTTTTTGGGACATTAAGTGCACATCAACCAAAGTTAAAGCTAACACAAACAGCACTGTGGAGATGGGTCTTTTTCTGTCAAATTTGGAAACAACTGTTCAACTTTCTTGATGAGTTCCTTGACCTGTTTAGAGTCTTTGGAGGTGTTCTTGAATACATGGTAACGATTGCCACAAGCTTCCAATATTTCCTTGAGGTGACTTCGAGGAACAATGAACTCGTTCAGGTTACATTTAGTATTTTCCCCATGTGTAAACAGGACGATTGTTTTTTCCCTGATTCTCCAGCCAAGAAGTTTCTCCAGGTTCTCTAATATTCCTCTCTCTCCCTCTGTGAACCTGCCGAACTGTATCACAAGTAACACCACACACTGCCCTGGCTGACAATACAACTTACACTCATTCAGCTGTGCCTCTTGCATGGATTTGTTTTCATGACAGAAGTCCGGGGTGTCAACCAGTCTAATCTGTTTACCACTCCCAACCTTCATCATTCTGGTCTCACACTTGGTGGTTACTGGTGTTGAGCTTGGATAGGATTTAAATGGGGTTGAATCCTGCTGGCTATTCCCAATTGTCAGGGATGGAAGCATTGGCTGCAGGGAGTTCTCTGCAGCCAGGATTGTGTTTGCTGATGCGCTCTTTCCAGTCCCACCTTTTCCCAGCAGAACTATGTTAAACACAGCATCTAACGAACTGTGAGCACTGCAACCTGGAAGATGTAAAACAGGAATTGAGTTAATTTCTCAGTTCCCAACTGTTCCTCTATGTGTCATCAGGCATTATGTACACTTTGAAGGTAAGACATCTAATCATTGTTTTACCTTTGTTTTTTCAACTGGATGCATTTATTGTGTCATAACTTCTAAGGTATACTAATATTATGCTAAGGTGCAGAAAAGATTCTTTGTGAGTTGAAGGAGCATGGCGAATAGACACCTGAGGAAGCATGTGCAATGAATGCTGTTCATTTTTATACCCTTTCATAATATTTACACTGAGATGTTTGGAGAGTCTGGGATATGGGGTATGTAATAGATAATATATTTTCATAATTACTTCTCTTCTGAAACCTGTTAAGATTACTATGAAAACACCTGGTTCTATGAAAAACATACAAAAAATACATATATAAATGAATGAATTAAAATTTTTGCCTGACCTGTCTGGCAGTGTAGCAATCAGAATGGATTTACTTTGCCAAGCGAACCATGGCTTTTGCTATAATGGTCCACTAGATAGTCATATTTTATTAGATTTTTATTAGGATTTTTTATTTGGAGTTATTACAGTAACAGTAGACAAGACCAGGAAATGGAAAAGGAACATAAGAAAGACAGCAAAGTTGGAGAGAAAGTTAACAGAAGGAGAGGGATTCTTATATGGAGTGGCATTAATACAACCAGGGAGTGGTGCTGGGGTCACGGTAGAGCTGTTCATCAACGTAGAGTCGGTCCATTGTGATGACAGGACGGGAGCACATTTGGATGAACCTGCGTCTGAATGAACAAGAAACTGTTCTTGATGTTGTGATGACCTTCTGTCAAGATTAGTAGGAAAAAAGGGAAAACGAAGCAGTGGATGATAACTGATCAAATGTAAAACTCAGTGAACCAGATAGGGATGAAGCTGAAGAGGGCAGAATGAGCCAGGCTGAAGAGTGAAGAGAGAAAAAGCTGATATGATATGATAATATTTAAGGAGTATGATTTGGATAGCTAGCTACTGACACTGTGGATACAACATAGAATTAGTGTACCTGCAAGGCTTTTAACACACAAAGAGCCCTGATCGTCAATTCTCCCCCTGATACACAGGATATCTTTGTAGATCAAATAGCGAAAATGAAAATAGCTGATGGAGGAGACGAAACACTTGATGTCTACGGTGTAGCTTTGCCTGAAAAGGTTTGGCCAGCCAAAACCCAGAAATTTTACCTGAAATTAATAATAATTTAAAAAAAAAACCCCAACTAAAATGGCATAATTATAGCAGTAACCATTTAGCATTTTCTAAGATTATTCTAATATTTAATAAATAAATAAATAAATAACAGAAAATCTGCATTCTAATATATACTTACCTGTTCTCTGAAGGTCATTGTAAGAATGGAAGTCATTTCTGAAAAGATAACAGTAATCACTATGACTGTACACAAAAATATAAATACCAGCTTATCTCAAAATTAGAGTAGGGAATTTTTTTTTACCTTTTGCGTTCCAACTCATGTTTCCTTCTTTGCACAATTTTGTGGCTGTAGTTTTTGTAGTCAAACTGAAATGACTGATGGTTTGAAGACCAGTTCATAAATACTGAAACTATTTTTTTCAGAATAACCAACTTGACATTGAACACTTCGTCTACATAACTGAGTAAATCATGGTTTTCTTGTTTTTCTAAGATGACAACTAAATTTTCTGTGACATTTTCTTCAAAGATATCTTTAAATGCAATGATTTGATTCCCCACTTTTTCTTTAGATGTGCTTTCTGACTCTATTGCCAGTATGAACAAATGAGGGCCAGGATATGAAAGTGCCATGAAGTCAATAATCTTCTGGTCTGGATTCATACATTCATCATCAAAGAATTTAGGAGCACTGATGATCCTGAATGAATTATCTTCTTTCAATTCACAGTGAGGTGAAGGCTTCCCAAAAATACAGTGACCTTGGAGGATTGTACTTTCGATCTTGCTCATGAAATCAGGCTTTTCTCCAAACAAAGCGATAGTAAACTTGCCAGGATTTTCTGTGGAAGCAAAAGCAATAATAACTTTCAGAAACAATCTGCTTTATTTTATAATAATTTATAATATAAAATCATTCACATATATCTGTGGCATTAAACATAACTAAAAACAAAAAAGCAGTTTCACAGTACAAAAGGGTTGGGCAGCTGCTGTGCTAAGACTCTGTTTTTGATTGCACTATTATTCTCCAACAGGCTGGCTGCTTTGCAGCATGTCTCTCTATCTCAGTGGTTCCCAAACTGTTTTTGCTAGGCCCCCCTTTGTTTTACAAGAAAAATGTTCGCGCCCCCCCCACCGACCGCGCGTGCACGCACACGCACACGCACAAACATCCTCCAACCAAACACAACCATATTTTGCTCCATTGTGGTTTATTTCACACCTCAAACATTTAGTAAACAATTAAGCAAATACAAGTAATCTGCAATAAATTACAGGTAGTAATAAAATAAACTACTAACTCTTTTACGCTACGTCCGCACCTACACGGGTATTTTTGAAAACGCAGCTGTTTCGTCCACACGTAAAC